GAGCTAACAACTCCAATGCAAAGGATTCAGCAGCATGCGGCAGCTCAGGCAATGCTAAAGTATCAGTTGCGAGCACATGTGACGACAGCGATGCAGTGGCCCTCGCAACAAACTCAGAAAAGGCATCAGGATATGCAGCACCGGCAGCGGTGCGCCACTCATGCCCGTCCCAACCGACTGAAGATGCATGATTATGCATGAGACACCGCTGAAGGGGACCTAAGTAACTGCCGCCTGAGTCGAACGAAGGCCACTGAACTGGCAAATGTTTCCAAGCAGGTAGGCGCCCGGCGATGTGTGTGAGTGCCGCTGAAGCAGCACCGAAAGTGCAAAGGTGTAATGCGAAACTACAACCATCCTCAGGAATGAGAGCTCGCATTTCTGAAAGTTGACAAACACTAGCTGGTCGCAAGCCTGATGCAGCAAGGCCAAGATCCTCAGGGTGTATGAACAGCCAAAAGAGTCCCACCTGGTTCTGCGCAGCTGCAGCCTTCAAGCATTGCTTCACAAAGAAATTCTCTTCTGAGGCACGATCCTTATCAGCATTACGCAACCAAGGAAAACCCCAAGAGTAAGTCACATCTCGCAGTGGTCTTGGGGCATAGCGACCGTTGTGCCTGTTACGTGCACGAGAAAACGTAGAGTTCGGCGGTGACATCAAAAGAACGTCCCATTTGCTAGCCGCGAGCTCGGAACAAATGCGATCCGAGCGAGCCTGAACACGAAGGTCACCAGGGGAAACCGAATCGGCACCCAGTTGAGTCATCTCACGCTGAAAACCATCAGTGACCGAAAACTTTGAAAGCCATGCATGTATGCTTAGCTGCTGACCATCGACCCAAATAATCACGCTGCTCCTTAGCCACCTTAGCGGCCGCTGCCAGCGCGGCAGTGTGTGCCTACCCGAGTGGTCCGTAAAATACGGGATCACCACCTCAGGAAGAAGCATGTTGTCGCGAACATATGTCCACTTCCCATTCCTCTATATGGGCTGAGGCAATCTTTGAAGCAAGCTCCTGACATGCAACGAGACTTCCTCACTGTTGATGTAGCCCTTTAGAGGCGTGCTCCAATCCTCTCCGAAACGACCACAGAAATAGTCGCGCTCGAACTTGAGTGACTCAGTGCCCAGCAGACGATAGCCATAGCCAATCCAGTCGAAACCAGACAGACTGATGCCTCGCATGACAAAAGCCCGGAGCTTGCCTACATGCTTGCCGGCCCCAGACGTCTTTGTCCTGTCCAGGGTGAACTTCAAACCAATTTGCGAAAGCAAAACGCTGGCAGGGTTGAAATTCTGCAGGTCATCCACTCGCAGAGTTGCCCACACCAACAGCAATAACACAGAAGAATAGAATCGCGCTCCGAGGCAGGCTGAGGGGTCACACACCACCAACTCGCAAGCTAACAGCACGATGATGGGGTACATCGGTGCTTGCTTGACTGGTGCAGCGTCCTGCTCCAGCTCGGCACCCCTTCCAAAAGAAGCATATCCTCGCTGAGACGCGCAGAGGGTTCCACCTGACCAACCAATTCAAGAAGACCCAATGTCGAAAGGATCCCACTGGGAATTGTCCTACCCAATGGCGAGAGCTCGTGTCGATCCTCCAGATACTGCAAAACTTCCTCTGCACTCCGAGGCCAGCACGCGGCGTATGTGATCCGAAGTCACGCACCAAGCTCCCTCCAAGCCATTGCCCTGTTCTTGAGGGTCTTTGCACGGCGCGACCCGAAGGCGCGAACCCAGGAAGTCTCAGGATTACTCATAGAATCAATGCGGGATGCAGCAGGCAGCCCGGCCTCGCGGATTATCACTGCCAGTTCCGAGATCCATCTCTTGCGACTCAGCTCTTCCCGGGCCTGCCGGCTGCCATCAGTACCTAGCTTTCGCTGCCGCAATGCCTGCTCCAAGATGCGCACTCCTACCTGTGGATTACGCGAAGACTCACTCACCGCTCCAGCTCTAAAAGAAACTTCGCTGCGCACTTTGGGTGCCACACGACGACTCCAGTCGAGGAGGCCGGCTGCGAGGCGTCTCCTCTTGTCCGGAGGATATTGTCCCTAAAGAGCTTCCTCTACCAGTTCAGTCGTGCTGTCGGCACCGTAACAAGCAATAGCCAACGTGCAAGGATCCTTGAAGGCGCGCTGCAACCTATTGCACAGAGTCCGATCAACATTGGCCACAGCTTGCCAGGTAAAGGACATCTTCAAGAAATTCTTGAGACTGGGTACCACGCAACCATGGCGCCAACGGTCTCCCAGCCCCGTCACTACACAAAACTACGACTCCTTGAGAGTACTGCAGCGGTCGTAACTAAGTTCTCCATCTGCAAGCTGGAGGTCAATCTCCAAAGTGGCAACTGACGAAAATTGTCTCAAGTAAAACTCATCATGAAATCATCGTGGTGCGATTGCCAAGCCGATGCAGGTTGAAGCGTCCAGAATGTCCCACCCAGACCCCCCCAGCACAAACCCAATCAGACATACTCTAGGTCCGAGGACCGAATAGCAAATACAGCGAGAATATGAAAACCTCGGTAGAGCGAGCACGTGTGTCGAATGGTCGAAAGTCTCAACGCACTCCCTGACTCCCTCACTCGCGCTTCCTCTTTTTCGGTCGATGCTCAGACCGTTAAAACCTCAGCTGACAATTCAAAAGATGATTCCACGTTCCCATCTCCTTGCAGCGCAAAGTGGCCTCGGGAACAGTGGACAAAAGAAAAGCAGGGTCCTCCGACTCGGCATGATCTCTCAAGTTGCCGACGGAGTTGACCAAGCGGTGGGCGACAAGCCCCCCTACCGCCTCCAGAGGAACGCGCGTTGCGTCGTCCTCGAGGCCATCAAATGGGCCGCGTGGCCGGAGCAAAATTCCCCGCAAGGCAGCTCCTGCTTCGGCAGAGAGCTTGACTTCTCTCCGGGGCATCCAGACCATGCCAGCCGTAACCGGTCTGCCAGGAAAATTGCCCGGCGCTGGTAACTGCGAGACCGGGTCTTCGTACCCCATCTGGAGCGACTCCACAATTTCTGTGGAAGCCCGCTCGGCCCGCGGAGAAATGCCGGCATCTGATAGCAATGCGGCGCCAAGTCCCAATACAGCCTCGGCATTGTACTTCTTGGGGACATCGTAGGCCATGTGAGCCACTTGCGCCAGACTAACAGCCAGCAGCAAGGAGCCATCGCCGGCCGGAATAAGAGATTTAAAAGCAACGTGCTGGGCCCTTTCAGCCATTGCACATGCCCTACCCCGGACAGGAGCAGTGTCCGCCCTAGAACAGAAATCCCTGTACTGGCCTACGGAAGTAAGCGCAGCTGGAGGCTTGTCAGGCAGCGACTCCAGGATTTCTTGGCGCGCTCGCCTTGACGCAAAACAACAAGACGCAAGTGGTATGCCTCGAAAACAGCCGACTGTGATGCACAGGGCCCTACAAATGGTTCTCCTTCAGTTTCTGTTCTACAAGCCACTTCAATTTCGGTCGAGCGTCCGAAGCTCTGGGACGCTAAGCTCGGATGGGGTGTTGTCAAGGAAATCGAGCAGCTTGTCCCAACCACAAATCATGAGCTCGTCCCCATCGTAGTCTCCATCACCCAGGTTTACTGCGCCTGTGCGTTTCAAAAACAAAACAGACACGGCGCCCTAGGACTAGAGGCAGCATTCGGCGCTAGCAGTGACTCGCAGCGACAATAATAACAGAGGCCACACCGCATAACAAGTTGCGGGAGCGGTCAAGCTTGTGACGTCTGTGCCTCCGCCTTCACGGCTGCATATGATGCAGTTGTTGGGGATGTACTTCGCGCAACTCGGAAGCGGTTTCCTGAGAATCATACCCTGCGTCGATAAGATGACATTCTCATCTTCACGCTGAAGGAGATTCAAGCGACAGGAGCCAACAAGTCTCGCTGTGGTCTGCCCAAGCGTCGCTGTCCAGACCTCTATGTCAGAGGCCAACATTGCTGGATAGCGCCACACTGCAAATCGGCCGGTCCAAACTTCTCCATCGACAATCACGTGGCACTCTCTCGCCTTAGCTCTGCAGCGACGCGCAATCAATCTATCACGTTGCTTTGCGTGGAAAGCATTCCACCCAGGTTCCTCGGTGCATACGCATATTGAATTAGTCTACAATCGGAACCATGCATGTATCCGTTTAACGCTGTCCCGCCTTCAGCGTGCCCCACATGTCGCTCAAAGCGAATCCCGTGGCAGCTGCGCCGGGCAGCGGGAGCTTCGGCTTTAAGTTGTAGGACGTGATTTTGCCGTTGTAGCGGCGTCGTCCGCGAAGGAGAGCGTCGCGAGTTCCTGAGGCGAGCTGATCATCTCAGATGGCTGTGTTCCATGCGCAGTTGCCGTTTACGCAAGTCTCCTTGCACACCAAAGCGCCCTTGTGCAGTTGCCATGGTTTCGGCTCAGTCTGGGGTCGCAACAGCTCTTCCAGTGGAGTCGGGTCTTCAATGTGATCCTATGGCATACCCAAAAAAGTGATGCATCAAAGTGGACGAGAAGGAGACACCAGACCAACATGAAGCGCAACTTGGCGCAAACAAGCACCAACAATCCTGCATCTCCAGCTTGACTTTGTGCTGCGGCACCCGAGCTGTTCCCCACGTATCAATGTTCGACACCGGCGCGCAAGGCTGGGGGAAGGCAACTGCCTGACACAACCAACGTTTCTCCATGCTGTGCAAGACGCACTCTGGCAGTCAAATACTTCCCTTGTACGCGCGACGTGCAGCCCAACCTGACGGTGGCTTGGCGGCGGTTTTGGAGACGCCCGTGTCTTCGGCAAACCAAAGGCTTCGGACAGCATCTCCTCCTTGCACGACCAGGTCACAAGGAAGTCTGCGCTCTAAGTCCGCTGCGATCATCCACCACGTTCAGAGACTCGGACACACATACCGCGGCTACTGAATGCCCAGCTGGCCAACCTACAACCTATAGGCATTGCTCACGGAGGCATATATTATTATAGGCAGCAGACACCGCCACGCTCGAGCATAGATAAGGTTAGCGGCATCTACCAATCTGCTGGGACTACAACGAATGTTTGGCAACGTAAGGGAATCAACAGCCCCAATTGCATGTTCGCTGGGCTCATTACTTGGCAGCTTTGTTCCACCGTCCTTCAAGGTTTTCTTGCATTGCGCCACCATCTCGTTCAGAAGCTTGCGCTGGGCGAAGCGAACCTGAGCTGCTTGTAACCCACAACAACCCACGCAGGTAAAACGAATGTGACGAAGTGAGCGCTGACGGCTGCATGCCATGCTGCCTCCGCGTCCTCGCATAAACAGACCCGCATCTGCAAGGATGCCAGTACTTGGGGCGTCAGCCGCGGTGGTGACATAGTGTGGGAAGTATCCTCTGCAGGTAACGGTCTCAGTTGTTGATCCATCTGCAAGCCGGGCCTGCACCAGGTCCAGACCATAGTGCTTGCTGTCGGCAAAGAGGTCGCCGTGGTTTTCGGGCCAGGAAAGCTTGACGCAGGACTCTCTGAGCCGAAGCCTGGCGATGGTTAGTTGCCAGGTAAGTTGACGTCACATGTTTTGCCAATCGCTTAACCTCAAGTGCCTACATACTATAAGATATCAAGTCTATGCAACCTGCGCTGCAGAACTCCCAGCAACCTCCGCTTGTCCGCGTCGCCCTCCACGGTTGTCAACATGCCCTTTCCGAGGACCACTTCGTCAAAAAGCGTCTCGCGGACCAGGCAGCGACATTGCCACGGGTGGTAGAGCAATCGCCCGTCCGGCCCATCGCGAGCATTGTACAGTAGGCCAAGCTCCTGATAAGAAAAGTTGCGGGCTCTGGCGTGCTCTTGTTACGTATAGCCGCGAAACGGTTCTAGCGTCGCAGAGCAACCAGACGAGAAAAGAGCAACAGCAGCGTTCAACGACACCATCCTAACTTAGCATCAGCTGCACCACTTCGAAAGAAGCATCAGACCCCAAGAGCGGAGCGATTGCACGGTCCTCGGCAAGTTCATATCCAATCTGCGCATGCCCGTCAGTAACTTTCTGGCCCTCCGAGTTGTAGATGTCAGGCGTCACCCACACCTCTGTGCCAGCCTGCACCAACGCCAAACCATCGTCGCGTCTTGGTGTAATGAAAACGCGAAGACAAATGCAAGGTCATGATATGTGAGTATGTATGTTTGTATGTATGTATATATGGTCGTGTGTGTACATATGTATGCATGTCTGCGTACAAAAAGCTTTGCAGTAGATGCACTACATTTAAACACGCCCGGCCGGAAGAGGGACGAACTCGGACGGCGTAAAAAGGAGTGGCATGCGAGCATACGCCGTCTCCACGCTGCCGCAACGCTGCAGGACCTGACATCCGGACGCAAAACCGAGCCATGGTGATTGGTCTGGGGAAAAAGACCTTTAGGTCAAATGGCCAAGTCACCTGTGCAGCAGACCTGCTCTGGCACAACTCCTTCGGCGAGTACAGCAGCTTACCGCATTCTCGCCCAAAGATGGTGGCCAGAAAAGTAGGGAAACCAGTAGCGCCGGCTGACGCCCAACGCTGCAGCCTGCTACAACGCTTCCTACACCGCAAGCTCTGATAGACAGGCTCAGAAGGCAAGCCCTGCCCACCCAAACTCAGCCTTGCAGGCTTGCTGCGCTTCATACCCCAATCCACGGAGTAGAGGCGGCACTTCTGATCCCGGCTGACTCTGCACCTTAGCGTGTTCGACAATTTCTAGTTTGATGCCCGTGCTCGAGCCTTACCCAGCCTTACGCACAGGGGCTGCACATGAGATTTACCATCAGCCGAGCTGTGAACTCGTCTTCAACCTCCGTGGGGACCACCGCGCTCCACCCCGGCATCAGCAGTGCCTCCAGATCTTGCACCTGTTGAGACGCAACATCTGCCGCGTTTAGGCAAAGAAGCCACACCACGACACACTCCGCAAGCCGGGCCCTGACCTTGCCTTTCCAACCCGTCTTCGTTTTTTCGGTGGTGCTTGCAGATGCACAATTGCCAAACCCTCCGCAACGGGCTCTTCGTGCAGAAAGTCTCCTCGAACAGCCAAACAAGCAACATCGGCAAGTGGCATGTGTGTAGAAGAGTAGTGTGCCCACGTGAATCGCAAGGTTTGCTGAATCCCCGGATGCATTGACCCACCTTCAGCGTCAATGATCCTCTCCAGGTCAGCCTCGACATCCTCCAAGGCGCCGGAGCTTGCTGCCACTGCCAGCCGTGCGGCAGTAGGAACACCTCTGCGTCGTGCTGTAAGAAGCGTTCTGCTATCAGCGCACACTGCCAAACCACGCGAAAACCGGACTTATTATCAGATCACTACACACAATATCCATTTTCTTTTGCTCGGCAGAAGCCGATGGGCCCTGGCAGCACTAATTCGCTAGGACTACTGGAATTGCAAGTTCGCAGACTTGCTTCCTAGTACTGTAGCCATGTCCCTGTTCAGAGCTGGGACTCAACCCTTCGAAAGTTGGTTCGCTGCTTTCGTAAGCAGACAGCGGCGCCGTTCAAAGATCTTGAGTCAATCCAATCTATTCTTGTAGTTTCCCTGTGGAAAAGTGTTCTGTTAGCTATGTGGACGAAATACACAGGCAAACTGTCTCGGAACAATAAGATGAAATTGTTCTTCGAGCAACAACTGAAAGGAAACACTCTGTGCAGCGGGCCTCCACCTTGTGGCTGATCCTGATAGACGTACACGCCAGCTCTGTCAACAGCAGCCACCTGCTCCTGCAGTTGAGGAAACGGCTACACGACCATGTCTTGGACTAGCAACCGGAGAAGGACACACTGTTCCGGCCTCTCTCGGCAGGCCCCAGAAGTGATGCAGAAACGGCGCTGCGGCGTCCGACGCAAGGCTGGGGTTGCGCCGCATCAAGGCAGTGAGGGTATTGCGACCACACTTAGTCAAATCAATATCCCTCGGGCGGGCAGCGAAAGCGCCGGAGCCGCAGAGAGCGATGAAAAATTCGCGGTCCACTTTCACAACCGCCCCGTTGCCGTTCAGCTCGTAAGACCCGGGAAGGAGCCGCGGCTCGCACGCA